GACAGATTTTCGATAGTGTAAAACAGAACAGCGATAGACCCGAAAATGTGAAATAAAATAGCTAACTCGTAGTCAAGGAAAAGTTTTGTTAAACTTCATTCGCACAGAAAGAAAACAGAGAGAGACTTAAAAAGTACTGTACAGAGAGCATATTGGTCAAAAATAACAATTCTAACTTGGCACAGATGAGTTCTTTTAAGTTTCGCCTTTTATCTCATCCCTAAAACAGCGCTTCTCGATAAAAATGTGAAATATTTCGCGAATTACGTCCAGTTGTTACGACATGAACTTAAAATGAGCACTACTGAATGCCGATCGTTTGTCATAATGAGACTACAGGCCCTTCGAAAAAAGTTGGCTGAGAATAAAATAACGGTAAAGTCAAATGTGGTGCCAATCGTCTAAGCCCACACTGACTTGATCACGCGCGGAGTGGCATTTGGAGAGTTATAATCTTTTCAGTGCTCCTATTTTGAACGGCATAAATTTCAAAAATAGTCTCAAGTAGGCGTTCCACTGAAAATGATTTCGTCAGGAATAAGTATAACAAAGAATAATATTAAAGTAGTTTGTATTTATCATAACTTTAGTAAAACACCAAATGCATTTACGTGACAGGACTTTGTGCAAATGTGACCATGAAATTAACATATACTAGATGCAGGAGACGAAAATAACGGACGGCCTCTCCGAACCCGAGCCCGCCAAATCAGTCAGGGGCTGGAGAACCAAAATTGGGTTTCACATTACTAGCCTTCTCACAGGCTGACTTGAAATTCATGTAATAATAAAGACCGGAGATGTTGTCCGAGGTAACTAGCTAATTTCCAACATCACTCCGCATATTCAAGCAGGAGTAAGAATCGCAAACGACTTGCAGGCCAAGAACAGACAAAATACACAACACATCCTTTCCCCTACGTAGAGTAAACGGAGTTAACCAACACCATCAGTCTCGTATCAGTAATCGCGTCTCATTAATCGTAACTGGAGGCTGACTATGAAAGTTACGGCACCATATGTTGTCAGCAGGTGTTTGAAGACTTGGCCGACATGGGAACTCGGGTCAGCCTCACGGAGTAAGCCCGTTAGCAATGTCGTTGACAACCAATGAGGAAAATTGAAGACTGCCTAACCGAATAATCGTTTGTTTAAACAACACTAACAGTGTGCGGCAAGTCCAGGCAACACTGAGGGATGTTATCAGTGCGCTGAAGAGGAACATCATGGATGCCAACAGCTGATCCTCTCTCCTACATTTGCGGACATTTCGTTCGTTCGCTTAGTAAAAGACCGGATTTGCAAAGGAAACGGTACGTCTGTATATAGAAAACTATTTTTAGATCAAATAGTTAGCCATGTTAGTAGGGCAGGATAAGGATTTAATCAAACATTTCCTGACCGCCCTAATGGGTTCACCGCTGTGCTACAACGTCAACTGAAGGAATATCCGCGGAAAAAACTATATTATTGGCTGCTCATCGTTCTTCATCGTCAGTGTTAGGCTCAACTTATTTTATTGGCACGCGCGGACTCAAATGACCAAAATTATCGCGTTTGGAATTATAGCACGGAGATGTTTCGAAGAACGGCGACTGATCCCATGGATCAAAGATCAGACATGGAGGGCAATCGAAACACAAGTGACCAACCATAAAGTATAACATTCTGCTTTAAATTATTGTCGAGGTGTATTCGTTCCCCAGAAGTCCGCACCGATGCCTACGTAGGTCTACAACTAACTCCACGTGAAGACACGATAAATAAACACAGAAACTTGTCATTACTTCATTGTATATCGTTTGCTTCTTATATGTTATTACCGTAATCATTATAATTCATCGTTAATTACGTCAACTGAAGCTATCTTAAGTGCGTCTTACCAAAGGTTACCTTATTTGGAAGGAACCGTTAGTGGTCAGCGGAAGTGACCCCTCTTTTTTGGTGCAAAAGTCTGATGTCTTAAAAGTGAGGGCCTCATGTTTGTACATAATTGTCCGATTTTTCTACCTGAACTTCTCAATAAACGATGCATCCCACACATGTTAGTCCACTTTCCTATGTTACGATGCAGTAAGTACTGTGCATGGCATATGTTTGTGCATATCAATTGGCTGTTTTCCTCTGAGTTGTCTTCCTTAGAGGCGTGGGGGTTCGGTATGTTACATCTGACGGTATTACAATTGTCGATATTTTACGTGCAGTGCACCCAGGCTACAAAATAGAAGCCGTAAGGGATAAGAACAAGCAACGAAAGAAGCGGACTCCATGCGCATTTTTAAGATGACAAAGCAAGACGAGGTCAGCGCATTGAACGCCAGATTGCTCCCTCTTGCCTCGCCGTAGATACGTCCGGCCTTCTTGACAAGGCGTGGTCGGAATAAGTTCGTGCTGGCAGGGCGTGTCTGCATATAATTGCTTTGAAACGCTTGACAGGCTGGATGACCCTACTTCTACTGGTCGCATGCCTTCTAAAACGCATCCCGTAACTATTTAATGAGGAAGGGTTCGGGTGGTAACTGCATTGTTACACCTAAATAAGCCACTACAAAAGTACTTTTCGCAAAAGGATACAAATCAAGCTTTGGAAGAGATTGGTCAGAGTTATGCCCGAAAACACACCAATGAACTCAATCGATATAAAAATAACCGCAATGGAGAAGAGAATAGTTACCCTAAATATAATAAGCTAAAATTTTACTTACTCCCTCATTGCTGTGGAGTAGTCAACGTTAACGTGAACATTGCGCTGGACAACGAACTCCTTGAAAGATATCAGCCGAAAAAATTTCGTACCTTAACAAGCAGGAGTTGGATTGTAAGAATGAGATGAAGTGTGATTAGGATAAACCGTAGCGGTATTATATAATTCTTGAAGAATGCCTTCATCGACGCGCTATTATTTACTGCGTTTACCTAACAAAAATAGCTAGTTTAAACAAACCAAAGTTTAGATGTCTACGAATGTATTCAAAATTTTATGCTATAAAGAATATTTTGCTGGTTAGATTGATATTAACCTCTAGAAAAGTGAAACTTAACAGTAAAAATGAGTATTATCTTGGCCGTGCGAATGGGTATTTTACCGCAGGTGTACTCTGGCTTTTGAGGGAGACTTGGGTTTCCGCTTCTGGCTTCCCTACATTTTGCAAACAACGCATGTGCATTAAAGGTTCGAAAAGCAAAAAATTCATTGAAAACCAAATAAATTTTAAAAGCCTGCAGAAATACGAACGAATCAAACTCTTAACACTGACAGCTTAATCACAAGCATGCTACAGAGAGTGTAGTGCGATAACAATCGTTTTCAGGCACCAGTTGGATTGGTCGTTATTATATGCATTGGGTGAGTCGTAGCAGGAAAGTGACGTAAACTTGCTATACCGAAAAAACGAAAGTTAGCGTTGATGATAATAAATTTGTTCACCTGGCCATCAAGAAGGGAGGGGTTGCTCGATATCGGATAATATCAGTCACCAATTTCTTTTATGACTTTCTACCGAACCATAACAGATCAAGGCCCGTAAGCCGGCAACGTTCAGTTCAGTTCAGTTCAGTTTATTGAGGGAAATAGGCGCAAGCCTTTGAGTACCCTATTTACAACGTATAAAATGTGTGGTGTACAGATAGATGTTCTGGGCTGAAATAGTTCGAACACGCCCATAATGGTGGGACAAAATGAGAAGGAGTTACAGGAGGTGAGCTCGACTTCTCATCGCTCTTGGTCATTTCAGAAGATAAATATGTCCAGATTCTTCTTAAAACGTTGTATAGATAGTGACATCACAATATCTGCGGGAAGCTTATTCCATGGTTTGACCACCCGAACCGAGAAGGAGAACTTCCGCATATCCAGCCGTGCCTGCTGAGTGCGCAATTTTAACGGGTGACCTCGGAGGTTGGTCATGGTAGCAAATTCGAAAAAGTCCTCGAAGGCCAGACTGCAATCCAACCCCTTTACAATGCGGAAGGCTTGCAAGAGATCTCCGCGAAGTTGCCTGTAACTCAAAGGAAAGAGGTTCAGATTTACTAGGCGTGTTGCATAAGGAAAGGAGCTTTGACCCCTGACCATCTTCGTTGCTCTCCTCTGGACTCTTTCGAGGCACTTTTGATCCACAACAGCCCACGGCCTCCAAGCTTGTATGCCGTACTCTAAATGCGGCCGGACGAATGTTCCGAATGTCTTAGAGAAAGCTTCTTCGTCAAAGTCCATAAACGCACGCTTGCTGGCGTACAGTACGGACATTGCGGTTTTTGCCACCCTCGAACAGTGGGCGGATGGTTTTAGGGCAGTCGTCGTAAGCACACCGAGGTCCCTTTGGGCTTCGACCTCTTGTAGGGCTGCACCGCCCAGAAAGTAGCCTCTTGTGCTGGCGGATCTGGCTGTGTTGCCTTGGCGAAGTATGCTACGTTTGGCAACGTTGAACCGCAGGAGCCAACTGTTTGACCACTCCTCCAACCGATTCAGGTTCATCTGCAGTCTGTCTTCATCGGCAGGACCCCGAATTACACTCCATATCTTCATGTCATCCGCAAACATTGCTACTTCACAGTCTAAATCTCTTGCGGCATCGTCCACGTAGATAAGGAACAAAATGGGTCCCAGAACTGAACCCTGGGGGACACCACTATCGACCATAGCCGGATCTGATTTTCCCGAACCGACGCACACAACTGGTGTCGACCCACAAGGAAGTTTTCGATCCATTTAAGGAAGTTGCCACCGATCCCTATTTTTTCAGCTTATGTAAGAGCCTTTGGTGTGGCACAGTGTCGAAAGCACTGTGGTGACTTCGGCCAAGGGGCGGCATGGAGGCGATCTCGTCTATGCTGTCTGGTGTTTTCGTAAAGACCAGATCCAGGCAGTTTGCCCTTTGTCCTTCCCGTGTTCTTGTTGGGAACATTAAATTTTTTGTGAGGCACGCATTTAATGTTTTGCTCAACAGGCGGTAATCGAATGCCGATTTTGGACCTGACGCTTGGAGGGTATTCCAGTTTGTTCATGGTGCGTTGAAGTTGCCCATGATCATGATGTTAGGTCGACTGGAAAATTTCTCCAACTGCTCCAATAGTTGAGTGCCGGCGATTCGGTCTGTCCGAGGTGGTCGGTAGACAGTGAGGATATCGAGACACGGGGAACCGGTAGCCTTGATGGTCAACCAGATAGCTTCCGTATTGCACGCAAACTTGGTGGTGTTATCCGACACTGCCAGACTGTCATTCACATACACAACAATACCACCACCCTGACGATGTTCTCTGTCCCTCCGATAAATTTGGTATTCAGGCAAGGCTACTTCGTTATCGCTAATATTCCCGGACAGCCAGGTCTCAGTTACTGCTAAAACATCTGGAGACAGCTCAACAAGGCAAAGTTTTAGTTCGTCTAGTTTCGATATGAGGCTTTGAGCATTCGTGTACAAACACCTCAGTTTAGCACCAGCCGAATTTCCCGTTGCATTTGTTACTGCTGTGGGCATTACTCCGTTATCGCGGACGTCGTGTTCTCTAGGCTCTTCCGTTACCTGATTGGTTTCATTTACATGCCTTGTTTCAGTCAGATCACTGGACGCTACGGGCTCGCTTGTGTTGGCGCCTTGATCAGGTGGTTCAACGAAGGTGTCTGTTTTAGCTGAGTAGCTGTCGTCGTTCGTAGTATTACAGGCTGGTTCCACTGAAACGGCATATATTTCCGAACTACCTTCCCCTTGAAGATAGCCAGATTGTGTTCGCCATCCTTCAGTCTTGATTTTAACTCCAAGACAAGTTCCCGCCGTTTCAACCGCTCCGCTGGTGAATAGTGCGGTTGAAAAAAAACCCGTTTGTGTGTGTTACTGAGATCGGTTTTTTTAGAGAGGATAAACCTGATTTGTTCTTTGTTCTCCAGCATAATTTTGAGAGGGCGAGGTGGTTGTGCTACAGTCCTGTCTTCACTCCTTTTTCCTATCCGGAATGCTTTCAGAACCTTTATTTTCATGTCTGCCGGCAGTAAATGATTTAGCAGAACATGAAAAGAAGCAAGATCCTCTGAGACACCGTCTTCAGGTCTGACTGCATTCGATTCTGACAAACCCTGAATAACCATACACTGCTGGCGAGCGTGGTCCTCCTTACTCTGTCTTTCCGGCGAATGCGCTGCATGTGAGCGAGGACGATTTACGGAGTCATCGCTTAAACGCACACTTTTATTGTCTACCGTCTGTCCCGAGCAACCCATCAGGGCTGGCTGGGACTTCAGAATACTGTCATGGCGTTTCCCTCTCCCCTCTACCCCCGGTTTTATGTCTTCACATTCAGATACGTGCTCTGTAGTGCGCTCGGGGTGGTTGCCAGAACAAGAGGGCAACAGTAGACTGGATGACCCAGGTATATCGTCACCGGGCAGAAGAGAAATCCCATCAATTACAACAAGAGGCTTAGGTGAGATGGCTTCCGCGACAGGTAACTTTTTTGCGACATCGCTTAAGACATCGTGCGTGGGAATCGAGTCTCCCTTTTCCGGCGGCTTCGTTTTCATTGTCCTGCTGTTACCGGCGTCTGCGGTTTTGGCTGTTGCGTTGCAACTCGTGTTTGAAGATTCCCCCGAGGAGATATTTTTTCGCGTTTTTTGCGTTTTGTTCTTCGTTTTTAAGATTCTAACACTGGACACGTTGTGGCCGACTACGGTCTGTTTCACGAGCGTCCTTAAATCAGCAAGCTCCTTTTTCAGTTGTTCTACTTTGATTTGAATATCTGCGCACCCTCAGCAAGGCTCATCTTCGTACCTCACACTTTTTGCGGTATTTACGCTTTTTGCACGCTTTGCTGGTCGTTGGCTGGAGGCGAAGGTAGAGCGAGCACAGGTTCTGGATGCGAAGGACAACTCACCGGACTTATCTTCCAAAGAGGTGCCGTCGCTGACCATAATACTACAGTTAGCTTGCTGAGAATCCATAAACTTCGACGTGATATAATAGGTATAATTCCGCTTTCGATGGTATAACGAGTACGTCGGCTTATATATGATGAATTAAAGTGAGTATTCAAAACTCAATAAGCGAAAAAATACTTAAAATCCGATAAATGTTGGTGAATTTAATCAGAAGCGACTTAGCCCTTTCAAGATCACCTGGGACTTGAAAAACTGCAGCCCTTGAAGGATTTTGAGCGATTGGTTTTCTAGGCTGTATACCGCGAATCGGTTGCGTAGCCAGTTGCGTTGTCAGTTGGACCGTGCTGATAAACAAATTGCACTTAATCCAGGTTCCTGGCGAATTTCGATGCGTGAAAAAATATTCCAAAAATGCACAAAGTTAGTCTGTACGTACGGTTCCAGTATCAATGTCAGAGACTGTAACTGTGGAATGGTAGCCAAGTCGAAATTTGCAGCGCAGAATAATTCCGTCGTGCTCAGTTTTGTAATCTACGGAACAATAAAGGATCGAGGCCTGTATGCCGGCAACGTTCTTGGTAAGACAAATGTCGGTGTTCCGGGGTTAAAATTCTCTTTTTGAAAAAAGTGCTCAACGGATTCTATTTTCTTCCGCTCAGTAGCACGCATGAGGCTAAATAAAAACGAACAGTATTCCAGGCCAGGTCTTACGTACATGTTGTAAAGGCGCATTCTAATGTCCCTAGTTTTGAAGTTTCGGAGGATAAACCCGATCGTTCTACGTGATTTGGAGTCTATCAAGGCACAGTGCTCCGAGAGATTGAGGCTCTTGGAGTATGAAACACTCAGATCCTTAATAATCCCAGGCACATTTATGGCGTGACCTTCAATGCTTAGTTAAGGATGGCGGTCGTCGCCAACCACCATGACTGAGTATTTATGCCAAGAAAAAGAAAGGCGCCATATGCGGCACCACTGGATGAAAGCCTGTAGATCGCTCTTTAGGAGTTCTAGCGCGATGTCACGATCTACTGGCTTATATCGATATGCAACTTTAAGATCATCAGCATACATGAAAGGCCTACCATTCTGAAATACATAAAGTACATGGTTAACAAAAAGGCAAAATAAAAGCGGGCCGAGTACACTACCCTGAATAACTCCACTCCTCATATATGTGGGGTTGAAGATAGTACTGGAAATCTAAACATGTTGTGTACGAGCGTCCAGGTAAGAAGATGTAAAATTCAGAATTTTTTCCCCTATTCTTAAGCAGGACAGTCTCAAAAGAATGAGGGAGTGGTCAGCAGTATAGAAAGCCTTAGTGAAATCGAAATATACAGTGTAAAGTGCAAAACCACTGTCCCTCAATTGGAGAAATAGACAAAGAAAGAGAGCTGACAGGTGCCACAAGCCCGAGCTTTAAGGAATCCATGCTGAGCAAAACTCAGCAGGATATGCTCTGTTAAGTGACACATCATCTTATCTTTCATCAATGTCTCTAAGTTCTTCGAAACTGCGGGAAGGGTGTTTATTGGCTGAAAGTCATCAAATGTTGTAGATTCGCCGTGTTTAGGAATGGGCAAAATGTGCGATTCCTTCCACAAGATAGGATAAGTTTCACTTTCAAGAGCAAGATTAAATACCTTGCATAAGAAGGATGGGAAAAGCATATTTGGATCGGCTTTTAAAATGCTTACTGGAACACCATTAGGGCCTGAACTATGAGATTGACGAAGACGCCGAATCGCAACAGTCACATCCCACAGAGTGAAAGTTATAGTTTCTAGAACTGCCGCAGTCAATGGCTGAATGGTCAGAAGCAGAGTGGTCGAGTCTTCAATGAACGTTTTGGACAGAAAATCATTAAAACTATCAGCGGTTAACTGGGCATCAACTATGGGATTTCCGAGGGCGTCTCGGAGGATGGGATGCTGCGTCTTTCTGAGAGTTCGTATTTTTCTAGGGAAAAGTTTCGAGACATTTAACGAATGGTTTTCGGTAAACCGGACCTCTTCGGCTAGCTGTTTTTCTTCAGACAATCTCTTAGGTCGATCAAAAATATCACAAATCAAGGGCAGAACAGAAACATCGTTCTGAAGATGGAAACGACGATAAAGCCTGCGCAATCTGCAACGAAAGGGTAAGGGTAGGAAAACCTCATCCCCAACATTAATAATTTTCTTACGGGGGACAAAACGTGAAATAAACGGATCCAAAATTTCGTACAGTTTTGCAGTGCAAACATTTACTTCCGAACTAAGGAAGAAATCATTCCAGTCGTAGGAATTAAGGTGTGTTAATAATTCGGTCGAGCGAATTGATCGGAAATTGCGGAAAAAGCTATACTTTGGGGACAACGTTTTGTCAGCCTCGAGTTCCAATGTTGAAACAACTATGTCATGGTCTGAGCCCCCGAGTGGGCCTAGGGATGACACTGACGATGGCATGCGGTCTCTACAGAAAATTAGGTCAAGTATGCTTGAGCCTCGGGTGGGGAAATCGACAACCTGAGTCCACATTCCAACATCCACAGTCTGAAGAAAGTCTTCGAACTTTCTGGGGCTTGAAGGCGGAGACCAGCGGACGTCATGGAGATTAAAATCGCCCGCAACCAATTGATACTTAAAGCTTAAGTCGGTCGCAGCATGAAATGCCTGTGAGAGTAAACGATCAAAATTTTCGTTGGCGTTGGGAGGACGATAAGCACAGCCAACTAGTGAGGAGAACTTTTTTTGGTGCAAATCGTGCAACTTTTAGTGCTGCCTTCACTGCGGGAGCTCAAGCGGCATAAATGTAAGTGTTTGCTTAACGTAGACGCAACTGCCCCCACCACGGCTGTCTACATACTTAATGCGTGTTGTTTATGCAGGTATGTTCAATAAGGCTTTCTAGTTTGTGCGTCTTGTTTGGCAGTCGATTTCTAGTTCTGGTTGAT